GCGCTTATTTCAACTACCCGCACAACGGTTATGGAAATTCCCAAACACACATAAACGGAAAGAAATAACAACAACTACATCCATAAACGTATGAAAAAAACTGTCATCGTCACATTCATTCTTGAAGGCTAATATTGATACACATAGCAGTAGCAGTGAAGTGCGTGCGTTCGCGTTTAGGCCTAGGACCTCTTCGTCTCATCGCGCCTACGGTGGTCACCGCACCAATTCGTGGACACCGCAATGCACGCGCCTCCAAATCGACCCCCCCCCCACTAGAAGAATTGGTAAATAAATGAATAACTCCATCCGATACAGAAGACTTAGCATCGGTAAACCCGTGTCGAACAACGCATGCGACTACGTTCGTGATTAACTTTGCTAAGGCGAAATAATGCAAGGCTACAGAGATTTGGTGCTAGTTTCTTAAACTCAGTAAGTAGATTAAAAAGTGGCACTTACTAAAGCAGTAAAATGCAAGAACCTTGCATTCGTCAACTGAAGAGCAACTAATTATTCCAACGATTTTTTTTGATAGAATGTGCAGAGCCGAATTCCTCCAGCTTAACTGATCACATAAAATGGGCAAATACTACTGGAAGGCGAGGCAGATTGACGCAATTTGGTGGAAGTTAACCTCAAATAACCATTTATGCCTCTGTGAGTTCTGCGAACCCTTTGCTTTCAAGGAAGCCTGAACATGGTTGTGACATGCAGATTGGTTTATCCGATTCAATCGCTGTCAGTTATCCGAAGCCTAATAAAAGTACGAGATATGAGTACCGTGAATAATGTGTTCAGTGAGTTCGCCCCAATCCTTTCCTCCAGCCTAAAACTCCCAATTACGCAACTTCTCCATTCATCCATAATGCACAGGTCACTTGTACTTTTTGCGCCTAGAATTACCCATGAATTCCGAGAGCACGGTTTCCTTATTTAATGCATAGGATGATAATGGTATGGCAATCTCATCTGTTAAGTTCACTCTATTTTTTATTCGGAAAACGGGTTAAAGTAAAAAATAAAGTTCTACAAAATCCACAATCGATTCAGCTGCCAAATGTAGACTCCGATCAGGTTTATTTTTGTTAAAAAAAGATATCGAATGATTGCATCACCAGTGAAACAGATCGCACTTTTCTTAACTACTGCAAAACCCGATAATAATGACGGAGTAGAAAAGTTTTCAGTTGGTACTATGATATTATCAGGCTTCGACATTCGTTCAACTCTTCCAGGCATAACTTTCTAACATGAGAGCGAGGAATACGTCCCAAAAAATGAGCACGAAATTGTTCGCTATTGCAAGCCTTAAGGTAAAGAACTATATTTTACTCCATCACTGTATGCATCAAACAATTTACATGCATCCGTACGAAGTGGAAATAAACCTATTTTGTCAGCTACTAGCATCTCTAGCCGCAAAGACCTGCATGTCTTAGGATTACTTTCACATGTCATAATGATTATTATTCGAAATATTCACTCTAGCACTTATATTATTTGCCCACTTAAAGTCAAACCTCACACCGAATAAGCCAAATTTGGATAGCCAGTGAATAGACTTACCGACTGTTTTTTTTTTACACATGACAGATTCTGACCCATTTTCCTTCAAATGGCCAACTGCATAAAATCGTAACACGAGCGCTAGATTAAATGAATCCAAATAGTCTGCTTATTTCTATCCTCTGCTTATAACAGTGGCATCAAATTCCGTTCCGTGAAGGCTTCACACTCGGCACGTGCATGCGCTAGGCGTAGTAAGGCCTGCAGTTTATCTTTCGACATGACCAATAAAATCTTTTAATGATCAGTGTTTCTATTGGAGGAAGAGGAACCAATCAAATAAGTCGGTCTCGTCTCACTGCCCTCCTTTTTGTCCTGCGCAATCAATAACGTGTCAAATTTGCATATAGAACGTATATGCTCTAGTCAATGCCTGCGCAAATGCGTCACCTCCACGGTGGAATGTAAGTTTTGTATGCAATGAATCGCACTCATACAAATCTGCCAAGGGCATTGTGCATCATTTTTCCCAAATGGCTGTACGCATTGTTGCAGACAGAATAGTGACATGACGCTACCTTATTATGAATTGATCCCTAGGACACTGACTTCGTTCTACTATGGGCAAGCAGGTCTGACCTATGTGGTAATAGTGCTTCACTTGAATAGAAGAGCAAGAACAAGTGAATGATTCCATCTCGGTTACACCGCTAATTCTGCAGTCATGCAATCTTTCAACCAAAATCCTGAACATAGGCAAAATCTCGTTGTTTAATAAATGAACAATGTACTGTCAGGAGCAACTGTTGATTGATTTTAGTAGATATGATGAAGTCTCAAATTAATGTCGATGAAGGAGATCCTTTGTTAGATGTGAAATGAATGTTCTCACAAAGTCCTCCTAGTCTAGGTAACGTAGAATATACCTCAGCCTGGGCAGGTTCGATTGTAGTATTTGCTTTGCAACCCGTGCTAATGCATTAAATACTAAGATGGTTTAGACGCAGTTGTCAGATCACCATAACTACGAAGATGGCTAAATTAGCATAGACTATGATTTGAGGAATATGCCCATCTCCACAGAATTATAAAATGTTTTCCGCGGATAAATGGAGCTACCGATTTCCTTAGTCCCATTATTTCATGAATACATGCATTAGGTGCAGCCTCCTAAAGAACCAGCTTAAGCAGGCCTATGCGCAAAGCTCGGTGATGTACACAAGTGCAATTTCGTGGTCTTATCAGTATCACGTCGGTCACAAGAAGAATTGTTGCGCTTACTTTACACCTTAGGGAAAGTAGAAGCCTATGCAAGCCAGTTTTCCCAATAAGTAAATAGTCGTAAAGGACTCCATCAAATAAGCAAATTCCTTCACACAACGAACCACATGTATATGAAACTAGAGACTATATTAGATTAACAGCACTCCTGCTATCTTTGAGTCTCCCATGGTCAGTAAATATGAGTAATCAAATATACTTGTCTTTGATTCAATGAATTATCCTCTAATTTCCATGTGTCCAATGCAAGTACTTCTATGAGAGTGCACTTCACACTAAAGGTACCGTATGCATCAAGTAATCCCACAAACTCCACGTTTTTCAATCACGTGCACCAAAAATTGTCCAATTAGTTCAATGATTCGAGACGGTCTCCTGGTTACCGGGTTAGTTCCAATTCTGACGCCATAGATTTCGACGACAAAAGTGCCTATCAATGGGGAAAAATCCAAGTGCAAGTCACACCAAACGAAGTTCTTATTCGCAGGGTTGAAGAAAGTAACCTAGATGCGTATTGGACTTTGCATAAATCCTGAGTGCACGGTTTTTAAGACTAATTTAAGCGAAAATTCACCTGGTTCACAAAACTTTAGGGTGCGGCTCACAATGCCGTCTGTCAGTTCCTCGGCATCAACAAATGAATCGATGTCGCTGAGGGACGGTGGGTCCGGTTTGTCCGGTATATCGGAAGTCGTCTTTGTCTTAAAGTTAAATTGACTTTGCAGTCGCATGTCATGCCATGACCTATTAAAGTTGCCTTAGCTACTGTGTTTATGTTCAAATAATTATTGTCTTATGAGTTTCTACGACATCTTCAATTATGAAGAAGCTACTCACCTTCGTGAATATCTCAATAGCTCGATATTTTCTCCAAATAACAAATGGCAAAAGCCGAGGAAAACTCATCCCCTCGATCACGATTATTCCCTCTCTTGGGTTCACAACACCACAGTCAACTTCGTTTTGAAGGCATTGATCATCTACAAACCCATCATCTAGAGATGCACAAAGCATAGCAAAATGTGGATACTTTGACCGGTCAAGGTGCCCCAAATATTGCTCAGTGCAGGGGGGATGGCAAAAGGATTTGTCCTTCCTTCAGAAAAAGTTATTTCTTGCCTGTAAAGTGATATCAGTTGGCTTCGCTGGTGAGAGCTCTGCAGTTCCCCCTGGCTAATCAATGGCAGCATTAATACCTTTATAAAATATTTACATTAATTTAAATGGGTCCCTTCCAAACAACTCCAACCGATATCTTCCAGGACACTGCGGAAAAAGGTGTATAGCAAATTGCAGGCAACCCAACTCACATGTAACTCTTTCAACCAATATACCAGTAGAACATTCCTTCCACACATTATCATTCTAAACTCAACTACTTTACCGTAGAATACCTCCAGTTTTCCAAAGTAATAATTTAACTTAATTGAGCCGCCTTCACAAGCTATAGTTGATGAAATCCTTAGTGAAATATAAATAGATCCCAGTTTGCCAAGGGTCAATGCCATTCCCGGGATCTCTTGAGCCTAAAAGTGGTCAAACATCGATTACCCTCTTCCTTGGAGATAATGTTTTTTTGCGATTTCTCTCATAAATGTACCACAATAATTTACCAACACATAACAATACCGTGGCTTCACCGTCCGTGATTTCGTTACCACGACACTAGTGAATTTAAAACAGCTTTGAACCTACGATATCGTTAGTGAGACAACAATTAGGCCAGCATTACTGAGGGCAGGAGATTACGTTTGGATGAAAATGC